GGGCTGTCAGTGCCCCAGCGGCCCTGCCGCCTCGCTGCAGCCCGAGGCCCCGCGGCCCCCTCCTTGCCCGTGTTCCTCCGTCCCCCGCGGCTGAGGCCGCATCGATCGCTGCCGGGGAGGAGGGAGACCGCGGCCGGAGGCGGTGGTTTCTATTCCTGACTCGGTGGGGGGTGGGGGTGTCTGGAGTCTGGGCCCAACAGCCGGTCATCCCCCCCATCTGGAGTCCGCGAAGGATGGGTCAGGAAGGGGATGGAGATCCACCTGGAAAGGGGGCTCGGCCTCGGTCCTAGGACAGGCAGCAACAGTGGTGGGATTAACTGAGTGCTTAGTATGTGCCAGAAATATTTCAGGTGACTTAGCTCAGCTATTCCTGGCACAAACTTGGCAGGGACTACAGGCTCTCGCGTTCTGCATTTGACAGGTGACGCTGGGCCCTTGCTCGGACTGCAGGGATCTGACTTAAGGAGTTGGGGGAGGCGGCGGCATCTCCCCCAGCCCCAAGCTGTGCCTGAGGGGGCTGCAGAGGTGGCTGCAGGCAGGTGGGCTGTGAGCATCCTTCTGTCCCTGAGGCTCAGTATCCTCAGTATCCTCACCTGCCCAGGAGTCCTGATCCTGCCTTGGGGTGGGCTGGTGAGGGTCAAGGGGAAGGGTGGCAAAGAGCTCCCCAAACATGGTGTGATCTTCAGGTGTCTATGAGTGGCTTCTAGCTGCCTGGTTGGGGAGAGGGTGCTGAAGAGAGGAACCAAGTTCCTGGAAGACTTCAAATACTATCATTAATAACAACGATAATTACCCACACTGGCTGAGCTCCTATTTGGGGCTGAATTCAGGCTTCATCTCATGCGGGCTGCACATGTACCTGTGGGTTAGGTGCTGTTATTTATTCCTGTCTCCCAGGGAAGAATTATAAGGTTTGAGAAGCATGGTGGCTTGCTCAAGGTCAGATCAGCCTCTGTGTCCCCCATGCCAGCCCTGTCCAATAGATACTAGGTGGACCACCTATGCAACTAAATCTTTATAATAGCAACATTCTTAAGAAGTAAAAAGAAACAGGTGAAATTATTTTAATAGTATATTTTATTGAACCCAATGTATCTGGAATATTTAAAATAAAATCAAAATTATTAATGAGATATTCATTTTTGTACTAAGTCTTTAAAACCGGTGAACTGTTTTTTATAGTTTGTAAAAAAATTGGCCACAAATTCAGTAGCTTCAAACAATACAGATTTATCATCATCTTATTAGATCAGGAGTCTGGGCCCAGTTTGGCTGGATTCTCTACTCAGGGTCTTACCAGCCTGAAGCTAAGTGTCAGCCAGGGTTGAAGTTTCCATTTGTGTTCAAGCATCTCTTCCAAGCTCACTTATTGGCAGAATTCATTTCATTGTGATTATAGAACTAAGATCTTCCTTTTTCTCCTAACGGTCTGCCGGCTGTCATCTCAGATCCTAGAGGTGGCGTGTACTTCCTTGCCACATGGTCCCATAGCTAGTTCAGAGCATGGTGCTTGCTGACTTCCTATTCTGTAACCAGACAGAGAAGGTCTCTGGTCTGTTTCATCTCCAGATCGCGTCCATTTACCATTCAAGAGGTGATCAGAGTTTTAGATGCATGTGTGAGTGACGGAAGTGGGGACAGGGGCTTTGTGGGTCACTATGCTAACAGGGTATCAATGCCCTTTGTATACCGTGGGTGGGCGGTCCCCCAGACTCCTTCAGTCCCTTGCCAGGGGTGCTGTCTGAACCCATAAAGTTTTGCCTACAGATTAAACTTGATGTGGCAGAAAATACAGTTTGGGGGTGAAGTGGACCTGGATGGGCAGCTTCTTCCACGTCTCCCAGTGATGTGTGCCTGGGATGCCCTTCCAGAACCCCTCACTGGGGTACCAAGTGATTCTAGTGAACAGAACAGGCAAAGGTGGTGGCCTGCCACTTCCACAATAAGGTGGCTTAAGGTGGTGACTTCTGCTGGCTTTGAGAAGCAAGTTGCCAGTTGCCATGCTGGACAGGCGAGGAGGTGAGGGTGACTTCCAGCCAACAGCCAGCGAGAGATGTGACGTTCAGGCCATTAGTCCTCCAGGAACTGAAACTGCCAACAACCTCCCAACCTGGAAAGCAGATTCTGCCTCATCAGGGCTGGGGAGAGAGTCCCGCCCTGACCAACACCTTGACTGCAGCTCATGAAGCGGAGAAACTGAGATAATAAATGGGTGGTGTTTTAAGCCCACGACAGGGGATACCTGTTACCCTGTGATAAGTAATAAATCCGTGGGCTTTAATCCTATTCCTGCCACCAAATTCCTTGTGCAGGGTCTCCTCTGAGATGCTCATCTTTCTCTTTTGTGAAATGGAAACAACGCTTCCCTCTGAGGATTAGCACATGCTGGTCCCTTCCCAGAGCAACTGCCCTTTCTTGGCCCAGGGTACTTGACTTAGGAACAGAAATGATTCATAGTGGCTTCACTAGAGAAGAGTCTAATTTTTTGCAGTAGGCCATCTTCTCCCTTAGGAAGCTTCCTCTGGTTTCGGGGCTGAGTTAGGCCCCTCCTGGCCTCTGTAGCCTCTGAGGTTTCTCCCGCCAGGGCTCTCTCTCATCCACTAGTGCATGAGCTCTGGGAAGGCATGGCCTGCAGCCTGTAGTAGGTAGAGAGGAAAGAGAGGTTGGAGTCTGCACAAGGGACAGGATGTGCAGCTTCCCAGGAGGCTTTCCAAAAGGATGGTGGAGAGAGACAGGATTTGGAGCTGAAGGAGTTGAACCTTGGTAGCCAAAGATGGAGCCACATGGCACAGATCAAGACACGGACCTGATGGAACAGGTAGTGTTAGCCAGGAAGCTGAGCAGGCTCTGCATCCTCACAGCCTGTGACTTGCCTCTTCCTGACACTCCCCAGGCAGGACTCAGGGTCCCAGGACAGCCAGGGGGCTCTTCGCAGCCAAGGCTTAGCTAGTTCCCCTACAAGAGTCCTGTTGGGGCCCCTGAATTCTCCTCCCCATCACCTTCAGGAAAGAAAGCAAAGCAATAAGTCAGTGTGCCCATAGGCCTGGGTCCCTGCTGTCCAGATTGGAGCCTGCTCATTTCACCTGCTTTGTGATCCCCATTTTTCAGATGTAAAAGCTGGGTTACTAAAGTTGGAGGGACTCTCCAAAGACCTGCTGTAATTAGTATAGTTAATAAGGCTGCAAGGTTTGGGGGCAGACTGTTTGGCTCTGACCTTGACCCAATCAATCTCTTTGTGCCTCAGTCTTCCTCATACGTGAAATGGGAGGAAACAGAACATCCTGCCTGTGAGGATTTAATGAGATGATCAAAGGACACCTGGTACCGGGTGGGTGCGCTGCAAAAAGGAACATGGGGCAGTTTAATCCACTTCTCAGCTGGGGGTCTTGGGCAAGTCACTTGTCTCAAAGCTGCAGCTTCTTCATTGTCAAATAGGAATAACGATGCCCACCTTCCTCAGGTTACGGGATGAATGAATGAAAGGACAATTTAAAGTGGGAGGCACAAGGTGGCCATTCACTGGGCACTAATAACTGGTGTCTGCATTAGGCTCTTACTGCAGTGGATCTATCACGGGCAGGCCCTGAACCTCCACAGCTTCCCACCACGAATATTTATGTGTCTCGTGCAAGTTTGAGGCTTGGCTGGGTCTGTTCACCTTCAGGCCTGCCCATGTGTCTCTGATGTCGAGACCCGTGGCTTCTGGGTGAGCTCTTCTCATGGCAGAGAGTAGGAGTTCTAAGAAGGACACTGCCTCGTCCTGAAACCGGGGGGCTGCCATTTCCACCCCATCCCCTTAGGCAAACGCACTCCTATCAATCCCCAGATCGCTGGGACAGGGACGTCCACTGCCCCTCCAGGGAAGCCGTGGGAGGGAAGGGGCAGTTGTGGGCAAGTGTGTCATCTGCATGTCATCTGCGTGAACTCCCTGAGGTTACCGAGGAGGAAATCAAGGCTCAGAGGGAGGCGGAGAAATATCGGAGGTCGCATGGAATCAGTGATTCCCAGAGAGCTCTCTCTGCTCCTCCCAGACCTCGCCCTGGTCCATAGAATTAGCATTTGCAGCCTGGAGTCACTGATTCAGGCACTGGAGAAGGACGGTGGCAATGAGGAGGGGCAGTTCTCTCCGCCTTCCAGCAGCACCATCAGAAGCCCCGGAGTGGTGGACGCTCACCTGGACTCAACCTCAAGGTCAAGAGAACAGGGAAAGAAGAGCCAGGATCCCCAGGGTCACCTCACAGTTGACCAGCCAACTCCTGAGCTTGGCGGGATGCAGAGGAGGCCCGGCAGAGACAGCAGGAGAGTGTGCCTGCCTCTGTCCCTTCCCAAGGCAAGTCCTGGGGGGAGACAGTCAGAAGCCAACTGTCTGGGTTCAGGGATGTTCTGGTCATCCCCGCACTGACCCTGCTCCCTACGAGAAACCCTCAGCAGGCCCTGACCCCAGACCAGACCCAGGGAAGCCCAGCCCAGGGTTGAGGACAGGGCCACCATAAAGCTGGCGTCCCAGCTGCTCCGGCGACACTCCCCTGAACATGGGGCAATCCACAATGACCTTAATGAGCACTTGGACGCCACACTGCACCACAGTGGCTTGGAGTGGGACCGTGCTGCTCTTTCCATCCTGATTACACCAGGGAGCTGTCTCAGTTAGAGTTCTGCATCTTTCTCTTTAACCCTTGCCGATCTCCATTTATTAAAACAGAGACAGGGAGCAGGCTTCCCGTTCAGTCTTGGCGGGTGGCCGTATCTAGCTCGAGTTTAATAATCTGATTTATTGGACACGATTTAATTTAATGGACCTGAACTATTTTCATTGCATTTGTTTTCACAATTACATTCGACTTGTGGCCATTGATCTTGCGCCTCTCATTTACAGCAGTGATATCGAGTTTTCTCTTGAAATAAGTTGAAAGTGGGTCATTTAAAGAAGACGTGAGGTCCACGGTAGAGGCAGCATGTGAGACGTCACCGTGCTGGTTTGCAGGTGTGGCAAGAATTGGGAAAAGATATGTGAATGGACCAACGTTTGGGAAATCCTGCGAGGACTTCATCTGGAGGCTGCAGGTGGGCTCAGGCCTGCCGGAGCTGGGCGTTTCGGTGGAGGAAACAGAACGTGCAGAGACACGAGGAGCTCAGTGTGGCAGTGGCTGCGGGTGCTAGGGAGACGAAGAGGAGTGCTTGCGACTGGTGTGGACCTTCAGGCTGTGGACCTTGGCATCCAGGGGGACAAGCCAGAGGCCACGGGTTGCAGGGCGGTGACAGCAGGTCAGTTAATCAGAAGATTGAAACTGCCTCCAGGAGGGATGTCGCTGTGGGTGCCGGTCCCCGGGAACTCCACCCGAGTTGCAGAACTGTAGGTCTTCAGCCAGAATCAGCCTGAGGAGAGAGGAAGAAGGGGTAACCCGCAAGGTCCATGACAGAGCTCTGAGCGTTGGCTTCTGTCCCCACATCCACACCCTACCAGCCCAGCCCTGGTTATAACTAAGGCAGGACGCGCCCGGTCCCCTTCCAAAGGCCAAACTGGAGTCCAGAGCCATTTCAGGATGTGGTCCATGCGAAGCGGCAAGTTCAGGAAGAGAACCCAGGGTCCCCAGTTCCTCTGCTACACTAACAGGGCTCCTCCTGCCCCATCCACTTCCCCAGTTCTGGCCGCAGAGGCCCTGGCTTCTGGGGAGGTCTCGGGTTCAACTTGCTGAACTGGAAGGAAACCTCGGAGCTGGGCTGGCAGAGGGAAGGCCCTGCCTCAGGTCCCCAGGAGCCGCACCTCTGACGGGGTCTCTGCAGTCCCGGCCACAGGCGCCGCGGCAGCACCGCTTCCTGCCCATGCAGTCGGAGTCTTGGCTGCACATGTGCCTGGTGGGGCTGAGGCAGTGCAGCCGGTCCTCGGGGCAGCTCCCCAGCTTCACTGCAACACAGGGGCCGGGGTGAGCCTGCGGAGCCCACCTGGGGCTGGGGGTTGGTGCTCAGCAAGGCGGAGGGGCCACTGACCTGAGACCCTGGGGACACACTGGCGGAAGCAAGCTCGGTAGCAGCACTTCTTGGTTGAAGGACACTGGCTGTCACCAGCGCACTGATCGGGCACTGACAGGAGGCAGGGCTCATCATCAGGCGGGCAGCTCCCCCACTTCTCTGTAAGAGAACACCCACATCTTGCAGCTGGAGGCAGCTCAGGTTATGTAACAAGTGCTGACCTGGAAATCGCATCTGAATTTGGTGTCCCCTACTCCTTGCCCGTCCTTTGAGAAGTTTATCGATTTATTTTTAATCACTATTTTTCTCCCAGGGCTGGTTGGAGATCCAGGCAGCATAAAAAATAGGGAAAATAAGACAGTTAAAAGTCTCCACTTTGTCCAATAAAGTTATGGCTAGGCTAGCCTCTCTTCTCTCTGGCCTCATCCTCTACCACTTTTTTTTTTTTCCCCCTGAGGGCTGGGGATAGTACTGGGGATTGAACCAGAGATACTTTACCTCTGAGCCTCATCCCCACCCCTTTTTGTTTTGAGATGGTCTTGCTATGTTGCTGAGGCTGACCTCAAACTTTCAATCCTCCTGCCTCGGCCTCCCAGGTTGCTGGGATTACAGGCGTGCACCCCCCTTGCTCTGCCACTCAGTGGCCCCTGATGGGCTCCAGGCTCCTTCTGTCTGCACGGCTCTTGCTGCGGCTGCACCTTTGCCTGGTGCTGTCCCCTCCACTCAGAGCACCTGGTCAACTCATTAATCTCTGAAACACTTCATCCTCAGAAGACCTTGCTTCTCCAGCCCCACCCGGACTCTGTGCCTCTCATCAGCTGGAGGCAGTGGGACTTGTCACCTGCCTGCCCTGCTGTGCTCCCTGTGAGCTCTGGCACAGCGTTTGGTGCACAACACTAGGGGCTCAGTGACTGTTTGAAAGAAAGGACTTGAAGGGAACCCGGTGTCTCGCACGTAGGCTGTTGCCAGCCTGCTGCATTGTCACATGGCCACCATGGCCACATCTGCATTGCGTGCTTGTCGCTGTGGCAGGTGGCGTGGCTTCAGGGTCCAGAGGTATTAAGTGTCTTGGAGGTGCCCCTCCAGGTGGCTGTGGGATGTGGGGTCCTGGAGTTTACCTCACCCCTCTTCTGGGATATTTCTGGCTGTTTCCAGGTTTCACACAGAAGGCTGGAGATCAGTACCTTCCTCCACTGGGTAGAGGAAACCAAGGTCTGAAAGGGACAGTGACTGGCCCAGACCCACACAATCCTGGGCCAGGACTCCTGCGGCCAGTTCCCTCTGATCTCTGGGGCCTGCTCTGGATGCTTTTGAGCCCTAGGGATGGGGCTGGACCCAGGTCTTCAACCCAATCGAGCATCAGAGAAAAGGTTCCGGAGCTCCCACAGCACTGGATTCAAGGCTCTGTCACCTGGGTCACCCTTCCCCCTCTGACCTGCCTGGGTGTTGGCCGCACATAGTAGGTAGCCTCTCACACAGTGAGTGCTCAAAATCAGCTTCATGCCTCCTTAGACTGAGTTCGTGTAAATCGAATTGCTGCCCCCTGCTGGAGCAAGGGTGGCTGAGCCTGGGAAGGAGTCCCTGCTCTGATTAGCTTCTCTTGGTGGTGGGTGGGCAGGGGGAGGGGAGAGGGGCACCCAAGGGGCCCTGGAGACTGTCTGAGGTGCCAGGGTTCAGCCTTAACTCACAAGCCCAGGCTGGAGGTGCTCAGGCCAAAGGGAACTCAGAGCAGGAAAGCAGGAGTGGGGAGCGGGCAGGTAGGTCAGGGGACAGAGGCCACAGAGCCTCTGAGGGGGGCCAGGGTGGGTGCAGGAACAGACTGATAGGGAGGGGGCTGAGAGCTGGCATCTCAAATGGGAAGAACTATGACAGCCACCGTGTGAGCTGGGCCTTAAATTCCGGAGGGCACAGACAGGTGGCAGTTCTGGGCGGCCACAGAGGCTCTGCCTTCCTGACCTTCCCGTTCACACATGCGCACTCTGACAACAACGTGACGATGCAGGTGGTCATCCAGATGCGTCCACTGTGGGAGCATAGACTCAGCCAGCAGCACACAAGTCAACAGATGTGTTCCCACACTCGTGTAGATACACAGCCCAGTGTGCAAGCACTTAGATCTACATACACAATTGGCCGTAGGCTTAGCCATCTGGGATTGCGCATACTCAAATTTTTTTTGATCTACCAAAAATAGCACATTATGTGGTTCAACCTAACACATGCACACACACACATTCAGACGTGCACAAGATAGTTTAATATTAATACACACACATATATAAATGCAGGCAGTCACACATGTACATTTGAAATGGGACATACACAGTCAGATTTATAAACATACTGTCACATATATGTCCACACACACACACACATATATATAGAAAGACTCATAATGCACAGTTATGCAGGTAACTATACAGCACACGCATGCATGCGAGCACAGTGACATACACACCCACAGACATCTATTCACGATCACACGTATGGAACTATAGACCCAGATGTTCCCGGCACCACATAACCACTAAAAACATTTAACTAGGCGTTTACTGTCCACAGGGAGAGCGCCCAGCTTTTGGATCAGAGACATCCAGACAGTTGAGTGAGGGCCAGGGGCTCCCCTAAGCAGAGGCAGCCAGGCTTCCACGGACGTCAAGCTGAGGTTCCCGTCCCTCACCCCTGCCACCGTCCTCCACTGTCTGAAGTCCACTGAGAGGGGGGCAGAGGTCTCCTGGAGAGGAGCCAGGGAAGGATGAGACATGCGCATCACACATGGCCACACCCAGAGGCCTGGAGCTGGCCCGGGCTCTGCTGGTGCCAGCTCCCACTCTTAGCAGCTCGGTGAGGTATCAGGACATGTCCTCCTGGTACCCCCAGCCCCTCCTCCAAATCACCCAGTTATGCTGCTCGTACTGTGTACCTGACCCTCTTCAAGGCACCAAGTGCTCCTGAGAGCGAGGCACGAGCCGGTTTCACAGGAGTCAGCAGGTGAGCGTTTCTGACCTCCCCGACCTCACTCAGAGGTCACCTTTGATACAAAGAGTCTTGGACCTTGGGCAAGTGGTTTCCCGCTGTGCTTTGGTTTCCTCCTCTGCAAAACGGGAATCAGTGTAGTGCCACCTCGCACACTGCAGAGGAGGTGTGTGGTGAGGGCCGTGGACCACAGTGGACGGACTGGCCTTGGAGCCCCCAGCCTCCTTCCTTCCTCGACCCAAGGACTCTGGGCACCCCCCTCCCCACATCAGCTCCCTCCCCCGCCAGGGACCTGTGCCTCCAAGGAAGGCATAATCTAGGCTAGAGAGAGCAGAGTGGACGCAGGCAATTGCTCCCAGAGCCCCTGCAGGAGGGGACCTGTCCTCATCACTGTCCCCTCCCCCAAAGGCAGGGCCAGGGCTGCCCAGGTGAATGTAGGTCACCTATATTCCACTAGAAGGGAGCAGTGCCTCACCCAGATCAGGAGGCACCAGTCCAGCCGCTCCAGCACCCTCACCTCCCTCCCCTGTCAACAGGCAGCCCCAGCCCCGGCCTCATCTGGGGTGCCAGTGGGCATGGGAGGTGCAGGAGGGAGAAGAGAGGCAGCGGCAGAGGTTCCTCCCAACATACCCCAGATCCCACGAGCCACGTTCCCTGTTTAACTCTCAAGCCCTTCTACAGATGGAGCTGGGAGAGAGGGCAGAAAAGACTCGCAGAGTGGCAGACTTGGAAGGGTTCCTCCCCAAAGAGGTGCCCCAGCTCAGACACACTCGATGCAGCTGTTCTACAGTGAACAGGCGCGGACATGGGCGCGCTGTGGTACATCCTCAGATGCGTAGATGGCACTGACAAGCACGAGAAACCAGCCGAGATACACAGACACGCGCCAAAAATGCACAAATGAAAATGCAGCCTCCCAGAACCACACACACACACACACACACACACACACACACACACACACACACCCGGCATCGCCTGCCCTCCCCCAAACCAAGCCTTACTCTCCCAGAGAGGCAGAAACCACCCAGGACCTAGAGAATAGGGATCTAACCACCTCACCTCCCTTCTTCCAGCCAGAGGCAGCAGGCAGCTGAGTCCCCAGAGCCAGGAGAGCCACCAGGAGGAAGCTCCAGAGCCCCATGTTTCTGCTGCTGGCACTCAATAAGGTCAGGGCCCAGCGGCTCCCAAATTAGCACCTGCAACCCCGGGAGGCCAAAGCAGCTGAGCCAAGGGAGGATGATGTCACATGGGGGTGGATGATGTCACATGGGTCTCCCTCACCCTGGCTCCTCCCTCTGCCCAGGCCCAGGGCCAGGGGTGCTTGTGCAAGAACTAAAGGCAGGGTGGCCCAGATTCTACAGGTGGGGGGACTTGGACCCAGTCCTGCCTGTATCCCTGACTTGGCTGTGGTCATGGCAAGTCTCGGGATCCCTCTCTGAGCTGCATTGATCCTACCTGTGTTGGGAAATAAAGGGGGAATGGCGATGGAAGCAATGTTGAGAGAGTGGACTTAGGAGGCAGCGGAACTTATGCAGGTCTCAAACTGCCACCTGGAGCTGTGAGAGCTGGTCACCTCCACCCTGTGACCTCAGACATCTGGAGTATATATTGGGAAAGACCAGGTGATAACATTGTGCCCGGAGACTCAAGATGCACAGCAAAAGATTCAGACTCTTGCTTGATGGACTTTGTTACCAAGCACATACCCTTTTGTTACCTTCTTTGGTCATGTAGCCCCCGTCGTTTCTTAGCACTTAATAGAAGTTTTCTACAAGGGGCTTCACCACTTTGTAACACAGGAGCACCGCCAGCCCTTCCGTCCCCAACTCCCTGCCTTCCTCAGAACCCTGACATCAGCTCTGTGAACCTGTGCCTCTGACGAACAGCTCTCAACTCAGGTCTGCCGACCTGAACTCCTAAGACCCCAGATAAAGTTGTTTTTACCCTTACAGTTTCTGAATTTGGCCGACAGTATTCAGGGTGAAGCATGAGTCAGGTCCCCACTTTCCTGGCTCTCCACAGTCTCAGAGTTCCAGCAACGTCTTAGGCAGGGACGGAAGTTAGTTCTGCCTGGCACGGGGGCTTTGCTCACTCTGGATTCCTAGGAAGGGAGACAGCATTAGGGTTGGGGTCGGAGCTTCCTGCCAGAGAAGCTGGCCCAGGCTGGCAGGCGAAGGAGGCCAGCCTCAGGCTCCCCTTTTGGGTCCCTGTGGGGAGAGAGGCCACCCCACCTTTGTGAGTCACTTGCAGTGACATCTGGCAGGACTGCCCTCTGCCTGGGCTGGCGCGGCAGTGGGGACGGATGAAGCAAGGCTTCATTTTGGTCTATTCATGGGCCAGAGCAGATGTCCTTCACTCAGGGACCCCAGCCTAGTTTTCATCTGGGTGGAATCTCCATCCATGTAGCCCCTGATAACGGCTCCTGCATTTGGTGGAAGAGAAGAGGCTGAGGTTGGCATCCCACAGGATCCAAACAGAAACTCCCCTGACTAGTGGATCCACCAGCTCTGTGGGAGCTCAGGTCCCTCCTCCCGGCCCTCCCATGTGAAAGATGAGGAAACTGTGAGCCAGAGATGAGAAAGAACTGCCTCAAAGACACACCTAATTCCTGGGACTAAGCTGGGACTTCCGCTCTGGCATCCCCAGCATCGGGGTGTTGAAAGCAGGGAAATACTTCAGCTGAGCCTGAGAGAGGAAGGCGACATTCCAGGGCTAAGTTCACCGTCCTTCCCAGTCCAGAGCAGCCAGGCAGGAAGTTCTTCCTTGGACTTAATTTGAATTCCTCACGCTGTCTTCCTAGCTCTCGGAAGAAGAGGGGCTCTGCCTTCTCTGACCTGAGGTTACTTTTGGAAGAATCTGGCATCTCCTTGGCAGCCTTATTTTGGAGAAAAACACTTATGGACATACTTTTTTTTTTCTGATTATAAACAACATGTTCATTGAAGAAATGCTTTTTTGATGAAGATGATTTTGTGAACATTTTCAAGTCTGTAAACATGATGTTTAAGGATGTGATTGCTTGTCTGTTGACCCATGTGGGGCTCTAGAAGCTTATGAGGTCACGCTGACTGGGCAAGAATCCTCCTGGGTGTTGGGTGCTGTGGGCCTCCTCCCCCTCAGGAGGAGCGGACGCTACTGGACCCATTTGTAGTGTTTTGAAGACAAGCAAAGGTATTTTACTAGTTGCCCCCTAATCCCCTGGTTGTAAACCTGTGTCTACCCATCTAGGACGAGCAAATACACCATGGCATGATGATGTAGCTCCCTGCAAATATTTGGAAACTGTGGATAATTACCTAAATCAATTATTTAATTAGGGGTTGCAATATCCCACAGATTTTGATTCTGATTATATTATACTTCACATGTAAATTATGTTGACCAAATAGACATCCTTTTTGTTTTTTTACATTTTTATTAGTGCCTTATTGCCACACATAACAGTGGAGCATATAACATTTGCTCCATTTTAATTCCCAGTACTTCCCCTTTCCCATCCACCTCCCTCCCTCTCAATTCACTGTTCTCCCTTCTATTTTCATGAGATTCCCCACCCCCTTTAAAATCCTTATTCTCTCTACCTTCTGCAAATGACAAAAAACAGGATAGATATCTTTATCTCATGGAGGTTTCCTGTTTGGGAAGAGCAAACCTTTTAAAAACCATTTTATCATGAAAAATTTCAGCCTATTCATCCACTTAAATAGGCTGAATGTCAGCAGCGTTTTACAGTTGTTGTTGTTTTTTTCCAGAAAATTTCTGTGTGCGTCTAGTTATGTTCATTAGTAGGCATATTATATATTTTTTGAGAATGTTGAATAGGAATTCTTTACTATTAAGTTGTCTTAGTCAGTTCTGGCGACTGTAACAAATCACCACAGACCAGGTGGTTTATAAACAACAAACACTTATTTCTCACAGTTCTGGAGTCTGGGAAGTCCAAGATCAAGGTGCCAGCAGATTCATGCCTGGGGAGGGCTTGTTTCCGGTCTCTGTGGCTTCCGGCTGCGTTCTCCCGTGGGGGAAGGGCAAGGCAGCTCTCTGAGGCCTCTTTCCTGAGGGCTCCTGTCCCCAGGAGGGCTCACCCGCTAGGGTGAGAAGGAGCACCTCAGAGGAGGAGGGCCAGCATCTGTGGAGGGCTGGACACTGGAGAAAGGACCTGTGGACCAGGTTTCCTTTGGGGAAAACACTTTTGTAGGAAAAAAACAATCATACAATAAACAAAAATCAACACAAACTGGAAATTACGGCCACATACAGACAGAGAATATAGATCCCTTACACACTGGAAGAGCTCTTAGACCCGCCTCTCTGTCTCACAGGACGCATAGTTCACCCTCATCCTGAGTGCACCCTTCTCACGTCTTAGTTGAAGAAACTGTGGTCGTAACCTAACAGCCTTGGATTTTATCAGGGAAAACAAGAGGAAGGGTGAGTCTTGCCACTTTCAAATCACAACTGGAATCCCTGAGGTAAAGGGAAGAACCCCCTGGATCCCCCACACACTCAAGTCACTGAGATCAGTTTTCAGAATAAGGCTGGAAATCTTCAGTCAGGAGTCTTCATGGTCCCCCAGGACCTTCCCTAATACCTTTGTCTACACTAGGCGAGAAAACAAACAACGGCATGCAAATTGGAAAGGCCTGAGCCTGCTCAGGAGAGTTTTGCTCAGGCCTTTCCAAGTTGAATGCCTGTTATTAGTTTTTCTTGCCTCGTTTCTCTGGCTAGAAGCTCAAGTGACATGTAGTGGTGCTGATAATGGCACGCTTGTTTTGTTCCTCATTTTAAGGGAAAGATTTGGTCTTCCACTATCGGGTATAGTATTAGTTTTAATTTAAAAATAAATAAATGCCCAGTATCAACTTGAGGATATTTCTGTGCATTCCTAGTTGGTGGAGAGTGTTCTCATCATGAGAAGATATTGGATTTCATCAATGCTTATTTTTTGTGTGTGTTGTGTTTTGTTTTATGGTGGTAGTTTTTGGCTCTGAGATTATTGTGGAGTTTTTTTTCCTTATTCTATTAATGTGCTGTTTAAAATTGTTTGGTTTTCATATGTTGAACACAAACTTTGGATTTCACTTGGTCATGAGATTGAAGACTTTTTAAAACATAAGAGATCTTGTTTTATTTTTATGTGAAGTTTTTGTCCAGCTCTAGATCACAGTCATGCTGGACTTACAAAATGAGTTAGGAAGTGTTCCCTCTGGTCCTGTTTTTTGGAAGAACTGGAGAAGGATTCATGATGTTTAGTAGAATTTACAAAACTCAGCTATCTGGTCAGCCAAGGCTTCTCCTTCTTTCTTCTTTTTTAATATTTAATATTTATTTTTTAGTTATCGGCGGACACAACATATTTCTTTTGTATGTGGTGCTGCGGATTGAACCCCGGCCGCACGCATGCCAGGCGAGCGTGCTACCACTTGAGCCACATCCCCAGCCCCTCTTTTCGTTTCTTTTTTGAAGACAGGGCCTTGGTTGGCCTCAGACTCCTGGCTCAAGCCATCCTCCTGCCCCAGCCCAGCTTCACTGGGTTTTCCTTTTGAAGGAGGTTTTAAATTTCAGATCCAGTCTCTCACTTGTTTTAAGTTCAGATGTTATGCTTCTTGAGTCAGTTTGTTAGGATGGATGTTTTTTAGGACATTTTCCTTTTCTCTAGGATTTAGTGTGTCGGTGTCAATGTCCAAGTAACCACTTGCCACCTGTTTATTACTGTACGATGAGTACTAATGTCCCCATCTTCATTTCTGATTTTAGTGATTTGAGTTCTTTTTTCTTGATCTGTTTTGGTGAATGATTTACCAATTTCATTCATTTTTTCCAGGTATTATCTCTCTCTTTTTTTTAGAGAGAGAGAGACAGAGAGAGAGAGAGAGAGAGAGAGAGAGAGAGAAATTTTAATATTTATTTTTTAGTTCTCGGCGGACACAACATCTTTGTTGGTATGTGGTGCTGAGGATCGAACCCGGGTCGCACGCATGCCAGGCGAGTGCGCTACCGCTTGAGCCACATCCCCAGCCCCAGGTACTATCTCTTGAATTCATTGATTCTATTACTTTTTATACCCTTTTTGTATCTTTTCATAGCTACATATTACCTTCCTTCTGTGGCTTTGGTTTTGCTGCTGCTCAAGGTGTAAATTTAGATCATTGATTTAGAGCTTTCTTTTTGGGACCATCTTTAGCTATAAATTCCCCTCAGAACTGTTTTCACTGCAACCCAAAGATTTTAGTGTATTGTGCTTTTATTTAAAAATTCATCTCATGGAATTTTATAATTTATCTTGTCATTTTTTCTTTGACCCTTTGATTGTTTAAAAGTACATTTTTGAATATCCATACATTTCTGAAGTTTCCAGTTTCCTTCTGTTACTGATTTCTATTTTCGTTTAATTGTGGTTGGAGAAAATCCTGTGTATGATTATTTATTTGTTTATTGCAATTGGCAAATAAAAATTATATATTTTTGTTGTGTTCGACATCATGTTTTGAAACATGTACACCTTGCACAGTAGCTAAATCTAGCTCTTTCTTTACTAATTACTTCAATAATCATCTCTTTTTTTGTGGGGGGCAACCCAACTTAACTTATAATTTCACCCTCTAATCTCCATAGCTCTATTTCCTTCTGGCATATAAAATACTCCAGCATCTCCCCAACTCAACCCATTTCATGATCAGATTTAAACAGAAAATATTATTGAATGTCATCTAAATCAGGTATGATACTCTGGATATGGTCAATCTTGAACAAAATTCCTCTCCATCTGGGAACCTGTGAAAGAAGACAAATTGTCTGTTTCCAAGATGTAATGACAGGAATAGGATAGGACAGACGCGCACATTGCAAAAGTGGTAAATCAGAAGGAAGAGAAGGACTCATCTGTTTCAGAGACGCCCAGAACTCAGCAGGGCAAGTTCTACTGGGATTTCAGGCTTCAGAATGCTTCCCGGCATTTCCAGGCTCTGTTCTCTGAGCCAACAGGGACGGTGGCCACACCTTCAGGGTCCATCTCACCAGTGTCCCTGCCCTCTGGAACTGAGGAGGTGGGCCCACCCGTGGCCACACTCTTTGGGCCAGCGCCTGTGGGCTCGGGTGGCAGAGGCAGGTCTGCTGTCCTCTGCCCATCCTAGGCCATTCCTCCCTTCTCCTCAAGGACCAGGCATGCTATCGGCTGAGTAACTCCACCAGCGGCTTCCTGCCTGCAGAACCACAGAAGTGCGGCTGTCCTCCTTCATTTCATCCACCTCTGTGCCCTGAAGTCCACGTTGGCAGAGTTTCTGCTGAGACAGCTCTTTGGAGATATATCTGCTAAATTCCGGAGCCCGGACCTCCAAAAAGAACTCAAAGGGTTGAGGTGAAGCGCTTTCATCGCCACAGCTGGAGAGGTGACTGTGTGTCGGAGGCTGAGGACAGCGGTGGGCACAGAAATGTACCGCCCAGACCTCCCGCTGCTCGGGTGAGTAACAGACACCACAGCTGCTGTCCCCTGCACCCTCCCCAGGTATTCACCAAGGCCATGCAGGGTGCCTCCAGCCAGTGATTGAGTGGCCAGACACTAAGACACACCACCTCCTGGGACACGGGGCTCTTCTGAGAGGTGACCTTGGTCAAAACACTCTTGTTCAATCTGGCTCACACTGGGCCTTCTGACACCTTTTCTTTTTAAAATTTTTTGTTGTTGTTGTTGTTGTAGATGGGCACAATACCTTTGTTTGTTTTTATTTTTATGTGGTGTCAGGGTTTAAACCCAGAGCCTCATTCAGGCTAGGCAAGCGCTCCACCACTGAGCCACAACCTGGCCCCCCACTTCTTTTCTTCATAACCCTTCTTCATCTCCTCCCCCTGCCCCCCAGGGAGTCCCGCATGGCGGGCTGCCGGTTCTCCTTGAGGTCTTTGGCTTCCTTCCATTTTCCCTCTCAGATATCCTCTCCCTAACACACTCTTGATTCTAGAATCATATCTGAACATTTCCTTTTAGGGGTCCCTAGCTAACTCCATTACCTTCGCTTCTGGTTTGAATCGGTTAGGAAATGACTGAGAAGGAGGGAGAAGTGGCAGGAAGGGAGGCAAAGAAAGAACTTTAGAAAAAATCACCATCCAATGAAGATGGTAATTAGATTTCACAAGAAACAGTAAAAAATCAAAAATAAGAGCCAGGTGCGATGATGCATACCTATAATCCAGCAGCTTGGGTGGCTAAGGCAGGAGGATCCCAGAGTCAAGGTTAGCCTTAGCAACTGTAGAGACCCTCTCTCAAAGCATGAAAAGGGCTGAAGGTGTAGCTTAGTGATAAAGTGTCCCTGAGTTAAATCCGCAATACTGAGAAGGGTGGGGGGAGATACCCATTTTATGTAAATGACAATATTTGTAATGTACTTAAAATTGTTATCCCTTGATATTATGCAATTATTATAAAAATAGTAGATAGCAATTGAAAACATGATAGGGGATAAGAAGTTTTTCAAAATTTGTTTGTTTGTTACAGACACTAAAATTTTGGAAGTCCACTTTCCCAGACCTTTGCTACCATTAAGATCCTTTAAAAAGTCAGAGGCTGAGAGTTAGAAAGTGAGGAAATCTGAGGTGACAAGCACTTTATTCCTAAGAAGTTTAGGGGCTCAATTCCAAGCTAAAAGTCAGGGCAGCTGAGCTGAACCACAGAGAATTCTTCCATAATTAATTATGCTTAAATGTCAGGGCCTAACATACTCTAGAAACCATGATATGTCCTGCTCCATTTCCAACCCAAAGTTCCAAATCTAATCCTAGATCATCAAGTGGAAAGACCACCAATACCAATACCAGAAAAACAGTAGCAAAAACAACCTGTTCTTCAACCCTAGGATAATGTGCTTGCCTTTCATGAGATCCAAACCCAGAAGATTTGATTCCAAGGTGTTTCTGGATTGACTTGGGAGAATCTGAGTGTCAGGTGATAAAGAGAAATCTATCAGAAAAACAGAAGCCCAAGAATTAGTAAAATCCAATGTGAAATAGGAACTGCATGCTTTTTACAGAACCTAAGGGATTCCCCAACAAGGTTGGGGATGGGGTAAAGAAGAGAAGGAGGGAGATCCAGAAGCCCCATAGATTTTCATGTAGTTTTAAATATACACTGTGCTATGCTTTGGATGTGGTTTGTGTGTGTGTCTCCTGAAGCCTGGTCTCCAGCGTGGCAATATTGAGAGGTGGTGGTCCCTTAAAAGGTAGGGCCTGGTGGAAGGCAACTCGATGGGAGGCACACCTTTAGAAGTAATCAGTGCAGGCCTGGTGGGGCCACACTACCTCCCTCAAGAGTGGCTGGTTCTAAGGCAGCCAGCGACTCCCTGCATATGTGCTCTGCATGTACCCCCCCTTATGTGTGCCCCCACCCCAGTGATGCCACTTGCCATGAGGCCCTCCCTAGAGCCCAGCAGATTAGGGGCGTGCTCCTGAATCTCATGCTGGAGATGGAACCAGAGCCTCATTCATACATGTAACAGAGAATGGACTAAAGACGTGGCTTTTATTTCTTTGTCTTGTTTTGATATTAATAAGCATTTAACTTTTGATAACAGGAAGGGCCTGGAAGAAGCACAGAAGAATTGGAGACTAGTTATCCAAGTCAGAGGCTGTAGGCCACTGTCTTCTCAGGATTGGTTAGACGGGGTTCCACCTAGGGAGAGAAGAAGGAGGAACATGGGGCGATGCACGCCGTCCTGGGGATGTGGCTTTCCATGGAGGTCCACAGTGGCCTGAATCCTGCTAGGTCCTCCCCTGGAGAGCTCTGAAATGTGCGGAAAGGAAAGAGGGCCGGGTGTGAGGGGCTCTAGACATGCCCCACTAAGGCCCTCTGACCTCCTGATCCCTGATTAAATGTGAAGAGGAAAATGCTTCCGTATTACAAACTCCAAACGGGGGAGGGAAGGCGATGGAAAAGATTCAGCCTAAAAATCCAATAAGGGCTGAGGAGCTTAGACGGAGCGCAGGGCTTGTCTGGTCCAGGGGTCCTGTCACACGGAGGAGACTCTGATGCCCTCTCCGCCAACTGAACGGAGCATTTTCTGCGGAGGGGGGGGGGTCTGTTGGGGCTCCCGGGTCCCATCCGGAGGACGGATCTCTGGACAGCCTCCCTCTAAGAGCTCGGAAGGGCGGATACCTAACGCACGGACAGTCCTGCACTCACCTCAGTCCAGCGTGGGCCAGGGCTGCATGCACTGCTGCTGGCACTGGTAGAAGCAGCACTTCTTGGGTCCGTTGCAGCCTCCGTCCCGCCGGCACCGGGGAAGCAGCGTGAAAGAGCAGGAGAGAAAGAACTCGGGGCAGTACCCAGATTTCTGCTGAACTGTTGGAAAGTGCCACTGGGTGAGTCTGGGGACACCGACCTGTCGCTCCGGCACAGGCCCCAGAGGAGACGTCCCTTCCCCCCCGGACACCCCCGGGACGGCCACGCCTTACCTTCCTTCATGTTGGCCTGCGCCACGCGGAGCCAAAGGAGGGCGGCCACGGAGAGCAGGGAGAGGCTGCTCAGCTTCATGGCGCGACAGACAGGCGCCGGCGACGGCCAGGCCCGGGGGAGTGTCTGCGCGGGCGGCGGGCCACCGGCAGGGGGTGCTGTGACCGCGGGGCAAGAGGTCAGGGTGCTGCGGGTGGCCTGCAAAGGACAGTAAGGTGACCTCTGGGGTGTAACTGCAGGGAGCCCGCAGGGACAGTCCCCTCTTCAGGCAACCAAGGGCCTTGAACAGCAGATTTGAGGCAATAGCGGGGAATCGTCCTTCCCGGCCACGCCTCAGGCCGGCCAAGCCCACTCTGCCCCCAGCCTATCCAGGAGGATTGAGACCCGCCCCTTCCACACGTGCGGGTGCGGGGTGCGTTTGAGGTGTTTATGGGTCACTTTCTACCACCCCCACCCCCACCATCCCAAGGACAAAGCTAGATAATGGGCTGTGAGCAGCCTGCTGCCAAGATTAAGAAAAACGCCAATTCATTGTGCATCGTGGGTGCATGATTAATGTTTTATTCCTTAATTCCTTCCTTTGCATCTCCATGAATGTGCAAAACGTTCATTTGCTGATAAAGTCAAAAGGCTAACTTGAGGTCATTTTGAACGTGAGCCCCAGGACAAATAACTCTTGAGCCCCTCTTTGCACTCCTATAAAAATGTTGAGTTGTTCCTGCTTGGTTGGTTGCCTAGAACATACATGTGTAAGCAATGCCACGTAAGTACACACGCACGTGTACACACACACACACACACAAACACACACACACACAAACACACACACAGTTATTAATGCACCCAGAGACTTGGAACCTGACATAAGAGGCAGAGGTTCCCTGGAGCAGTTACTACATCTCTTCTCTTTCTCTCTGGTGCAACCTTATGGCTTCCTCCGGGCTTGGCCTCTTTCGGCTGTGCCTCTGTGCTTCTAGTTCTGGGCTGCCCTGCCCTCACTGAGATGTAGGCCACATTTAGAAAATAAATGAAAATGCTTCCTACCTGTTTTACATGCCAATAACTTCCAGTGTTTCTGCTTTTATTTTCAAGATGTGTGCTTGCAGCTCCACACACTCAGATCTTTGTTTTCAAAACAATTTGACATTCACAGCAATTTTATGATATCAAACTATGAAACTGTATCCCAATCTTGCTATAAGTATAAAATTCCAAATCCCAAATGATTTTGTCATATATAAAATAGTGGCACATCACAAACAATTAGGAGTTTATTTCAACAATGTATGATTGGTTTAACATTCCAAATTAGGTCAATGAATATTTCCTATTAGAACATGGAGAGAAACTTGATTATCTCCATATCAGACACAGAATATATGAAAAAATCATTTATCTGTTTATGATATATAAATGAGAAAATAATGACACAGGATAAGAAATTCAATTATTTAATGTGATAACCTCTACAAAAACCCTACACGTGGAACGCGCGCGCTCCCGCTGGCCTCGAACATGGCTGGTGGCTAGAGGGGTGGACGATGCTGACTGCTTAGGAGAGATCCGGGCCGTGAGAGGCATTAGTTGGGCCCTAACAGTTAGCGGGGCTAGCGATGTGTTTGTTGTGATGTTTCGTTTTTCTTTTTGCCACCCCATGAATCGACGGGGACGCTGCTACTGGGACCATCGCTGACCCTGGCTTCGCAAACATTAAAGGAAATTGATGATGTCTATGAAAAATATAAGAAAGAAGATGATTCAAACCAGAAAAAACGCCTACAGCAGCATCTCCAGAGAGCATTAATCAATAGTCAAGAATTAGGAGATGAAAAAATTCAGATTGTCACACAAATGCTCGAATTGGTGGAAAATCGAGCAAGACAAATGGAGTTACATTCACAGTGTCTTCAAGATCCTGCTGAAAATGAACGAGCATCAGATAAAGCAAAAATGGATTCTAGCCAGCCAGAAAGATCTTCAAGAAGACCCCGCAGGCAGAGAACCAGTGAAAGCCGTGATTTATGTCACATGACAAATGGGATTGAAGACTGTGATGATCAGCCACCTAAAGAAAAGAAATCGAAGTCAGCCAAGAAAAAGAAACGCTCAAAGGCCAAGCAGGAAAGGGAAGCCTCACCTGTTGAGTTTGCAATAGATCCCAATGAACCTACATACTGTTTGTGTAACCAAGTGTCTTATGGGGAAATGATAGGATGTGACAATGAACAGTGTCCAATTGAATGGTTTCACTTTTCATGTGTTTCACTTACCTATAAACCAAAGGGGAAATGGTATTGCCCAAAGTGCAGGGGAGATAATGAGAAAACAATGGACAAAAGTACTGAAAAGACAAAAAAAGAGAGAAGATCGAGGTAGTAAAGGCCATCCATATTTTAAAGGGTTATTTGTCTTTTATATAATTCGTTTACTTTCAGAAAATGTTTTAGGGTAAATGCATAAGACTATGCAATAATTTTTAATCATTAGTATTAATGGTGTATTAAAAGTTGTTGTACTTTGAAAAAAAAAAAACCCTACACGTGGGAAGCAATTTTGGGGATTAAAATCTGCTTATCCATCAAAAGTCATGAGAATATTAGCAATTTTTAATTCCAATGATGTTCTTCATAGAAATAGAAAAAGCAGTCATGGAATTCATTTGGAAAATTAAGAGGCCCAGAGTAGCCAAAGCAATCCTCAGCAAGAAGAGTGAAGCAGGAGGCATCACAACACCAGAGTTTAAATCATACTACGGCCTGGTATTGGCATCAAAATAGACATGAAGACCAGTGGAACAGAATAGAAGACACAAAGACAAACCCACATATATGCAGTTATCTCACACTAGACAAAGGTGACATAAACATACATTGGAGAAAAGACAGCCTCTTCAACAAACGGTGCTGGGAAAACTGGAAATCCATATTAGAATTAAATTTGACCCCTATCTCTCACCCTGCACAAAACTCAACTCAAAGTAGATCAAAGACCTAGGCATTAGACCAGAAATCCTGCGCTTCCTGGAGGAAAATGTAGGCCCAGTTCTTCATCTTGTCAGCTTAGGAACTGACTTCTTCCTCAACAAGACTCCTAAAGCACAAGAAGTAAGATCAACAATCAATAAATGGGATGGCATCAAACTAAAAAGCTTCTTCATAGTGAAGGAAAGAATCAAGAACATGAAGAGAGAGCCTACAGAATGAGAGAAAATCTTTACCACATGCACCTTCGATAAAGCATTAATCTCTAAGACATATAAAGAACTCAAAAAAATTAACACCAAAAAACCAAATAACCCAATCAATAAGTGGGCAAAGGAATTGAACAGACACTTCACAGAAGAAGAAATACAATGGTCAAAAAATAGATAAAAAAATGTTCAACATCATTAGCAATTAGAGAAATGCAAATTAAAACTACACAGAGATTCCATTTTACTCTAGTCAGAATGGTAATTGTCAAGAATACTAGGAACAATAGATGTTGGTGAGGATGTGGAGAAAAATGCTCACTCATACATTACTGATGGGACTGCAAATTGGTGCACCCACTCTGGAAAGCTGTATGGAGATTCCTTGGAAAACTTGGAATGGAACCACCATTTGACTCAGTTATCCCACTCCTCAGCATATACCCAAAACACCTAAAATCAGCATATTACAGTGATGCAGCCATATCAATGTTTATAGCAGCTCAATTCCCATTACCAAAGCTATAGAACCAACCTAGATGCCCTTCAACAGATTAATGGATAAAGAAAATGTGGTATATACACAATGAAATGACTCAGCCATTAAGAAGAATGAAATTATGGCAATTGCCAGTAAATGGATGAAACTAGAGACTATTATGCTAAGTGAAATAAGCCAATCCCAAAAAACCAAAGGCCGAATGTTCCGATATGTAAGTGCTAATACACAATGGCAGGGTTTGAGGAGAACAGAAATTCATTGGATTAGACAAAGGAGAATGAAGGGAAGGGACAGGGGATGGGACTAGGAAAGAAGTAGAATGAATCAGATATGACTTTCCTATGTTCATATGTGAATACATGACCAGTCTAATTCCATACCGTGTACAACCACAAGAATGGGAAGTTAGACTCCATGAACGTAGACTGTGTCAAAATATACTCTGTCATGTGTATCTAAAAAGAAATTTTTAAAAATAGTTTTTAAAAAATCTTGTCCAAAAGCACAAGAAGTAAGATCAACAATCAATAAATGGGATTTTTTGATTATTGATCTCTGAACTAAATCAAAGCCTTGTCACAACCCATGGTGTTGACTGAGGGAAAAGAAGGGTGGTGCATCACCCCTAAGGAAGAGGGGAGTGGGAAAACTCTGTGTCCTGAATACTCCCATTCTGTCCCCAAAAAAGCTAGCCACGTTAAGGGAACAATGAGAGCCAGTCTGGGCCAGAAAGTCCAGATGCACGTTATCTTGAAGGACACTGGCTCTCTCTTGTGTGTGCTGGGAACTAGGGCGAGCTGGTGTCATCTGTCAAAAGCCAGCTTCTGCATGTCCACTGGGACAGCTGCTCCTTGGGAGCTGGTCACCATGCCGGCCAGCTAAGCCAACTAAGGCTGCTGTCACTGCCTTGCAGCCTGACATACATCCCCTCTCTGAGTGGGGACTGGGGTGGGACAGAGGACCCTGGAAGGGGTATGTGTAGTCATCTAACTGGCTGCCGTTGGGCAAGATCCTGTGTGGGAGAGAAGGGGACGCTTGGCAAAGCACCTGGAGGGACAGGGGAGCTGTCCTCCCCAAACCTTGCCGTTGTGTGTAGCACCCACATTCAACATTTTGCCACTGAATTCTTCCTGGAACAGTCCCTGACCTGCTGTTCCCCCATGTCTCCCATGCGGTCTCTGGGTACTTTCTCCATCTCTCTTGCAACCTACCCTGCCGCCCTGGCACCACCGGCTACGGCTGTGCCTGGTGAATCTCATCAGGAACAGAAGCTTGTGGCAGTTCACTAGTCCTATTTCCTGTTGGGCTGTGCGGTCGCCATGAAGACCAGCAGGCTTGCTCTGCAGTAGCTGGGAAAACCAGAAACTGGGCGACCACTTCAGGGGAGAAAGGTTTCCTCTGGCCTCAAGTCTCCATGCTCCCCACCCCCAAATTGTCACTCTTTCCACTATATGGCGACTCCCTAAAAATCCCCTCTCAGGGCATGTGTTTAGTCATGTCACTTCAGTCTTGCTCTTGTGGACAGCACTATCCCTGGGGAGCGCTCTCTCTTTCTTTCTTTCTCTCTCTCTCTCTCTCTCTCTCTCTATATATATATATATATATGGGGAGGGGAAGTGATATATATATATATATGATTTAACTGAGGGGTGCTCTACCACTGATCTACCACTGAGCTAGTCCCACAGCCTATCTTGTGTATCTATTTATTTATTTATTTTTGAGACAGGGTCTCAGGTGCTGCTGTTGGCCTCAAATTTGCGATCCCCCTGCCTCAGCCTCCTTAGTATCTCAGATTACAGGCATGTGTCACCATGCCTGCCCTGGGGCAATTTTTTGACATCACAGCTACTTCAGACTGTGAGATTCATTGGGGCTAACAAAAGAAAAGAGTGAAGAATGAGATGCCCAAAGGTTTTTGAAAATCTCATATTGGCCGGGGGTGGGAGAAGGCCACCTGCAGGTGTGTACATTGTGCATTTGTCCCTGACTGTGTACAGGCTAAGGAAGGAATGAAGACCCACCTCTGCCTAATTTCAGGATCTGGGCAGACAGGAAGTGAAGGCCAATGAGAACCTGTTAACTGCTTGCTGGAACGTTGAAAATACGCCCCCAGATACACACAGCCCTTGAGAAACCCAGGTGGTGTGCAGTTCACAGAACTCAAGCTCATCCCCGCCCAGCCATTAGTCGCTAGCAAGCCAGTGGAACCGACTGCAGTGGGTGCACCTGAGAAATTATTCAGACTAATTTACAAAATTGGTTCAGGAGAGTAACTCAACAAATGATCCGTAACAAAACGACATTAAAAAAACCCTGGGGAGAGGAACTTATTTCCTAGGTTGGCATATTGTATTGTGTAAAAATTTTGATTTCATTGAAAAAAAATAGAATGTCAAGAAAGGGAAAATTGCCCCTGCACAGCGGGGAGGGGGAGTGACCCATAGAAACAGTCCTTACGGCATCCCAGGCAGTGGACCCCTGCAGAAGGACTCCAAATCAGCTCTTATGAACATACTCAAAGGACTAAAGGAAACTATGAACAAGAGGCTACAAAAGAGGGCAGGGCTGAGCAAGACGGTGGGTAGAACTCCGGTGATGGTTTCCCCACAGAAACATCAATCTGAACAATTATCCACCCATGAAAATACTTCCAGAGGAGCTTAGGAAACCAGGCAAGAGATCATAGCAACTAGTTATAGCATAATAATGAGAAATGACCCGCTGAAAAGATTAGAAGGGACAGTTTTGTGTTACCTGTATCCGACCCCAGCTTGCAGGAAAGAGGAGGAAAATAACACTGGACCCTGCCTTGGACTTCAGTGCGGGCTCCATCACAGTGAAACACAGCACCTGCAGGCCTGCCTGGCCCCTGGCTTCAGGACCAAACCTTGGCCTGCACCTCAGACCCACCCCAGTGCCCGCTGGGAACGTGTAGGCCCTGCCAGGGGATTTGCTGGCTAGCTCCAGCAGTCCCCGGTTTTCACAAACCTCAGCAGCAGGCAGCCTTCAGAAGCTTGGGCTTTGGTTTTCCCCAGAACTGTCAGTCCTGACAGCCACAGGATCTCCGTCTGGTGCTAATCCAGCCTCTATGGCCACGTGGGTCACGGATTCAGGGTGGCCCCCTAGCACCAAAATGGTCACGGTGGTGGTGGGCTTAGAGACCACAGCAGATGACCTGTACAGAATTTCTGGACAAGCATACTGTTGAAGGACATTCTCAGACAAGGCCACACTGCAAAGCCTGGAATAAGTACCTACTTGCTTAATGCAAGGCATGGATATAGGATAAGAATCAAGAATAATCGGGTAAAGGGGCTACAGTTGTGGCTCAGTGGTAGAGCGCTTTCTTAGCATGTGTGAGGCACTGGGTTTGATCCTCAGCACCACATAAAAATAAATAAGTAAATAAAGGCATAAAAAACACAATAACATTTAAAAAAACAGATAAATGTAATATCACCAACTAGGCAAAATAAGGTATCAGGGCCTAAGCTTAAATAGATAGCGATGTCTAAATTCCCTAAGAATTCAAATGATCTCTTTTAAGGAAGTTAAATGAACTTGAAAAACACACAGATAAACAATTCAGAGATTTATTAGAGAATTTCAAATAGAGGTTGGACTAATAATGAAAAATTAAACAGAGATCCTGGAGATGAAAAATACATGAATATACTCTAAATGCATCACAGAGCATCAACAGTGTATTGATCAAACAGAATAAAGAATCTGTAAACTTGGAGACAGGTTATTTGAAAACAGAGTTGAAAAAGAGTAAGAAAGAAAAGGAGAAAGCGTATGAGATTTTTAGGACAGTGTGAAAAGGGAAAATGTATGAGTCTTTGGCATCAAAGAGGAGGTAGAAGAAAGAGGCAGACAGCTATTTAAAGAAATAACACAAGAAACCTTTCCAGACCTAGAGAAAGACATAAACACCCAGGTACAGGAATCAGATTCAATCCAAATAAGACTATCCCAAGCATATTATGACCAAAATTTCAAAGGTCACAAACAAGGAGAGGACCCTGAAGCAGCAAAAGAAAAGAAGCAAATAACATATAAAGGAGGGTGAAGCGCCTAATGGCAGACTACCCTGCAGGAGAGGGTTTAAGGGCATACTCAGGTGCTCAAGGAAAACCCCTCCAAATTAAGAATACTTACCAGAAAAACCTTCCTTGAAAAATAACAGATAAAGACTTTCCACACAAGGAAAACCTGAGGGAGTCATCAGCCTCAGACCTGTTTTACAAGAAATGCTAATGTTGAAAGAAAATGAAGTTCATGAGTAACTTGAGAACAACTGAAAGTATAAAACTCACTGGTAAAGGTAAATACAGGGTTAAATTCAGAGCACTCCAACACTGCCATGGTGTTCAAATCACTGTATTTTTAATATGAAGGTTATTAGATAAAATTGTTAAAGATGATAACTTTACAATTTGTTAAGGCATATGTACTATATAAAGATGTAAATTGTGACCTCAAAAAATCAAAGCCTAGGAGGGCAGTAAAATTAAATCCCAGAGTTTTTGTTTTTAAGAGTTAAGGTTATCAGTTTGAAGTAACTTTTTATAGCTATTTGATCTTTTTGTGTCATAAAAACCACAAAGCAAAAATCTATGTTAGATACACTTTAAATAGGATAAGGAATCAAAAATGGTATTAGAGAAAAATTTAACCATAAAGAAAGACTTTAATCGAGAAAAAAATCTGTTTAACAAAAGAACTAGAAGGTAGTTCCAAAATGGTGATAGTTACAGTGCAAAATGCATTCTACTGTCATGTATAAATAATCAGAACAAATTTAAAAAAACAAAAATCAAAATGGCCTTAGTAAGCCCTTATCTATCAATAATTACCTTGACTATAAATCACCTAAATTTTTCGATTATAACCCATCACACGACAAATTATGGATAAAAAAGATCAAGAACCAACCACACTCAGTTTCACCTGTAAGGAGATTCATAAAATAAGAGAAGAGATGGAGAAAGATATTCCTGCAAATGGAACCCAAAGAGAGCAGGAGTAGCTAAACTTACAACAGGTAACACAGACTTTAAGTAAAAAAAAATGATAAAAAAAGACAGAGGTCATTAAATAATGACAAAGAAATCCATTTAGCAAAAGGACATAACAATTGTAACTATTCAGACAATACTGAAGCATCTACATATATTCATAGATCTAAAGGACATGATAGACTGCAGTGTGAAATAATGGGAGACTTCAACACCTACCAAACTTTCTGCAATGGACTGAGCATTAGATAGAAAATAAAGAAGCATGGATTTAAGCTACCTGCTCGACAAAATGCACTTAACAAATATTTACAGAACATTCTGCAGAGTGTGCATTCTTCTGAACTGCATATAGAACATTCTCTGGGATGGATCATATTTTAGGCCACAAAACAAGTCTTCACATAGTTAAGAGGATTGAAATAATATCATGCATCCTTTCTGAAAACAGTGGAATAAAACTAGAAATAAAAAAAAACAAACAGAAAGAACTTCAGAATTTTGTAAATGCATGGAAATTGAATAATATATTCTTTAATAACCAATGTCTCAATTAAGAAATTAAAAGGGAAATTTGAAAAATTTTTTTGAAATAAACAAAGATGGAGCACAATATACCTAAATTTATGAGATACAGCAAAGGTAATTCTAAAAGGGAAGTATATAGAAATGATAAAGACCAGAGCAGCAATAAATATATCTATATGCTCTCTGAGAATATAGAAATTCATTGGTACAAACAATTGTAAGAGCAAGAAAAGCGGCTACATTAATATCAGACAAATAGACTGATTTAAAAATTGCAATGATTTAAAAATTGGTGTGGATATGAGGTTTCCCCCAAAAGCTCATGTGTGACACAATGTGAGAATGTCCAGATGTGAAATGAGTACACCATGAGAATTGTAACCTAATCGGTGGATTGATCCACTAATAAGGATTAGCTGGAGAAGGGTGGCTGTAGGCAGCCAGGTTATGGCTAGAGGAGATGGGCCACTAGGGGTGTGCCTCTGGGGCTCATATTTGTTTATCTTTTGTCCCTGGTGAGCAGAGTGCCTTCTCCACTTCCTGGCTGTCATGTCTTGAGCTGCTCTCCTCCACATTACCCTTCCGCCATGATGTTCTGCCTCACCTTGGGCCAAGAGCTGTGGAGTCAGCTGATGATGGATCCTCTGAAATGGTGAGCCAATGCACATTTTCCTCCTCTAATTGTTCTTATCAGGTCTTTTGGTCACTGATTAGGCTTAAAAGATACAAATAGAGTATTCTAGACCAAGACGGGAGGGTACATATTTTTCTTGAGTACACATGGAGCATACTCCCAGATAGGCCACATGCCAGGCCACCGAACAAGGTCAGTATGTTTACAAAGTTTGAAATCATAACAAAGTGTCTTCTTTAACCACAGTAGAAAGCAACTAGATATAGATAGCAAAAGCAAAAGTAGAAAATTCCCATGTAGGTGGAATGAGCATGCTTTTATTTTATTTTTATCTTTTATTGATTTTACTTTTTTTAAATACACAACAGCAATGGAATGCATTACAATTCTTATTACACATATACAGCACAATGTTTCATATCTCTGTATGTAAAGTATGTTCACTCCAATTCATGCCTTTATACATGTACTTTGGTTTTTTTTTGTATTACAAATCTTAATACAGATATATACCACACTTTTTCATATTTCTGTTTGTATATAAAGCATGCTTTTAAATAACCAATGAATCAAAAAAGAAAATATAAACGAAATCAGAAAACATCTTGTAACTAACAAAATGAAAATGCCAGCTAACAAAATCTTATGGGATGAGTGAGGGCAATCCACAGCTATAATGACCTACATTAAGAAGAAATACACAGGGCTGGGAATGTGGCTCAGTCGGTAGCGCGCTTGTCTGGCATGCGTGCGGCCCGGGTTCGATCCTCAGCACCACATACCAACAGAGATGTTGTGTCTGCCAAGAACTAAAAAAAAATAATAATAAATATTAAAAATTCTCTCTCTCTCTCTCCTCTCTCACTCTCTCTTTAAAAAAAAAAAAAGAAGAAGAAATACACAACTAATAATCCAACTGTATGAGGGAAATAAGAACAAATGGAATCCAGAGCTGGCAGGAGGGAAGAAAATAGTAAAAAAGAGATGAAATAACCAAGGATGAGCCAGAGACTAATGACAATGTTATTTCTCCCCTTTCCAAGTTTTCAGAGTTGAGTCATGAATTGAATCAAAGGGATGTAAGTAAAGACTGCAGTTTCCAGGTCATTTCTTAAAGCCAAAGCTGTTTTATCCTTTTCCTGTGTGTCACCTGGGAAGTAGGGATGGAAGCTATCCATCTCCAGCCCTGGCAACGAAGACAAGACCTGGGAGAGGGAGGAGCAAGAAGGAAGGAGCCAGGGACCCTGCTGGTTCTCCAGCGAGCTACCTTGCCCGCCAGACTGCTCACCGCAGACTGCTTCCTGGGAGGAAGGAAACCGCCTTAGAGGAGTGCTGTGTTTTTCCCTCAGAGCAGTTGAATCTGCACCGCCCTTTAGTCAAGAGTTAATTCCTTTGTTTTTGCAACTAATAAACCTACAGTCTTATTTCTTTTTTATTTTATTTTCTTTCTCCCTTCTTTCTTTCTTTTTTTCCCCTTATTTTAGAGTCTTCTGGAATAACCCTTGTTCATTGTTTGGAACTTGACATTATATCTTACACTGAATTGGATAAAAAGAGGCCTGTTCCTGGGTTTCTTTTCTTTCTATTACTTTTTTTTTAAATATTTATTTATTAGTATTTGGCAGTCACAACATCTTTGTTGGTATGTGGTGCTGAGGATCGAACCCCGGTCGCACACACTCCAGACGAGCGCGCTACCGCTTGAGCCACATCCCCAGCCCTCTATTACTTTCTTCCTGCCTCTATATGCTGCTATAAAAACCAACATATTCACTGAAGTCACTTTGCAGGGCATTTTTAGGGATTAGAGGTTCAAATATTCTCCAATTAATCATTTTCAAAATTTCAAGGCTATTCCCAAGAATTTATTCTTTTGCATAAACTTAAGTATTGCTTTGAAGTTCCTCCAAGGTGTATCACTGCCCCAAGGAGTTAAACAAATAAAAGCAAAAATGGGTTTTGAGTGTTGTACACTTAAAAAATAAATTGAAAGGGTAAATGTTGACATCTTCACTCTGGAGTCTTCTCATTAAGGAACACAGTATGTCTTTTTTAGTATTATTTTGTAATGTACCCCTGACAAGTTTGAGAGCTTTGTTACCTCCAATGTGCATTTCATATTTGTCAGCCGGAAGTGGGGGTGCTGCTCTCTCTGTACTGCAAGATGTACCGACACCCAGGCCCGACTGCAGTAGGGGCCTTAGACAGTGCTCCTGGAAGGGACAGGGGTACGGTTCCTCCTGTTCTCTCACCCCCCATCAGGTTCCCCAGTTTCCACTCACAGCAGGAGGCCAGCACAAGAAGTTGATTTGAATTCTGGAAAGGCAGGACCAGACCAGACCTCCAGCATGCCCAGCGCCTTCCATTTAACAGGCAACTGGGGCTCAGAGGAACAGAGATTTGCCTGGGGTTCACTTTATGAGCAGAGAGAGGGCTGGGGTGGCACTCAGGTCACCTGCCGTCCGTGCCTGTGCTTTCTGCTTGCTCCAAACTGTTCCTCCTCCTGCAGCTTTGCCCTTCTCTGGAGCTTCCTTGGAAGGTTAAGTGGGGCAGCAGCAGAGCCAGTTTGTCCCACATATTTGCCCCCTTGTCTTCACTACCTGAGCCTGCCAGCCCTGACCAACGCACAGTCTATCTCTGGAGAGCACATTTATTCTTGCTAAGATATCAAGGACTTAGAGCGTGTTGCTGCCTCATTTACATCTTAAACTAGAATTCCCGCTGGGCATGGTGGCACACTCTTGCAATCCCAGCTACTTGAGAGGCAAGGCAGGAGGATCACAAGGTCAAGGCCAGCCTGGGCAACTTAGCAAGACCCTGTCACAAATTTAAAATTTTACGAAGGGGCTGGGAATGTTGCTCAGTGTTTGCCTAGCTGATGGAAGGCTCTGGGTTCAATTCTCGGTGTTGCAAAGCAAATCAAGAGAATTCAGGCTGTGGTGTAGTCCAGTGGTAGGGCTCCTGCTTAGAATGCACAAGACCTTGGGTTTACTACCGGGCACCCTCCAAAGATAGTGACTCTTCAGCAGTATAAGGGAACATTTTGAATAATCTGTTAATTTTGCCAAACTTCATTCCCTGAAATTCATTTTCACACAGAATGATACACAACTCTGATGGTAACCCATCCTTTTGAATTCCTGTCCTCTGTTACTCCGATCTTTACTTCTTGTCACAGACTTTAGCTATTTTGTTGCAACAGGAAAGCTGCCTTGGGACCCATCCTTCTCTCTGTCCTTTTGCCCACGACTGACGGTTTTTCCTCTCTACTTAAATCATCTGACATTCCTTTTGTGCTTTGATCATGCCCTTGGTCCTGCTTAGAATTCTGTGTCTGCCTTTGATCTTTCCCGAGCTTAGCTAAGCAGCTGCCTTGGGATCCGATCCGTCTTGTGGCTTGCCATGTGGAATGTCACAAAGTGGCACTTCTTCTTGACTTGGACGGTCCCCAGGCAGTTGATAGAGACAGGATTTGATATGTGGTTTTGGTCCTCGTCACACACTTGCAGTGTCCCTTGTCCATGTTAAAGTGGCCTTGTTCTCTACTGAGACATTGGCGTGGCGATCCACTTACACAGAGGCCACTGATGACCATCGTCCTCTGCCTGCTGTACAGTTGGGGTGCGAGGTTGTCTTGTGGTGCTGCGCACTGCCCGGGATGGGCTGGTTCTTGTTTTCCACCTGGATGTGGGTCTGACGTTCTCATTTCGTGTTATGCACACCAAGAACATGGATTATATATTTGTTTCTGGTCATGATAATGATCACCTACTTGCTGTTTGACTTAGATCTTGAGACCCAGCTTGGTTTTTTACCTTTTTGTCCTGAATAGTGCTGACCTCGTTGTCTACTTGGAAATCCATGTGATCCATTTTGTAATTGGCTTTGCAACTCACCTGATAATTGATAATGAGAGTGTCTGGGCTCCATGGTCTCCAGGATTCCCTCTCAGGTCTTGCCCTGAACCTTTTCCTAGTCAATGCACTGATGTTCCCAGGAGGGCTGTGCCTCTGGGCGGAGAAGACTCAAGCATCACCAGGAATAAGAAACCCTCCAGGAAGAGGTCGGGGCCAGCACTCTACAGCTCCAAATCGTGTCTTTTCCTTTTATTTGGGGCCTATCTATTGCAGGAATACTCCCAACCCCAAACCTGTAGGGACAATGAGATCTCAGGGACAGAAGAAACTGAGGCAGAAAGTGATCTTGCCATTGGCAAGCAAGAGCCAGGTCTAGTAACCCCAGGGACAAAGAAGCCTGAGCCGGTGGGGTCCTGCAGACACCAAGGGTCTGAGACCATGGGGGTCCGCACCTTAGAGTCATCACACACTTCACTGAGGGCAGGGCACCCAGGGAGACAGGGATGTCAGTGATGGGAGGGTAGTGAAGAGTGGACGGTGGGCACAGGGGGTGGGGCTTCTGCCCTTTAGCTCCTGCTGGACCAACTTCTGCCCGTGGAGGGGCTAGGGCACTGTCAGCTGGGTCTAGTATCTCTGTGCTTGGCCTCTGTTCAGATGAAAAGCGACTTTTTGTGAAGTATCAGGAAGCATCATCCGCCCTCCCCGGGCCTCAGTTTCCTCTCCTGGCTTGTGAACATCCAGTTGGAATCCGAGGCTCCTCACCACCTCTTACACGTCCCTTTTCATCTCGCCCACCGTACACGAAGGCTCTTCCGTCCTCCTCGTCCACCTCTTTCCTGCATTCTGAGGGAAAGAGTAGCTAAGTTTTTGTGGTCTCTGAGGAGGACAGATGCACATGAACGGGATGTAAGAACGCTTGCTCTGTGCAGAAAGAGAATGCTAACTGCCTTAGCACTTTATACGAACACAAGGAAGAAACTGAGTTAGTTAATCTGAAATATAAGACACAACAAGATCACATTATCAACTTAGGAATATGTTTATGTAATTGATTCATGCTCAAGAAACTTTAAATGAGACCCACTTCTCCCTACAGAAGAGGTCAGAGCCCAAGAAAAACCCCAACACAGTTTTCCTAACCAAAGTGATCAGACAGTGTAGGACATGGGCACAAACCAGACACGATTCCTGGCCAAGATGGAAAAGTTGGCCAAAATGGAAATAGACCACTCAGCCAGTGTCCAGGGACAAACATGGCCTACTCTATCATGGACAAAAGGGCCCATGACAATAGGGAGCTAGGTCAGACATTATATCCAAGTTAAGCGGCAGGTGCGTGACAATAATAATCAACTAAAATCCCAATCAAGATCCAGGATGTGTCAATGTGCCAAGAAAAGCCTAGTCCAACGCTGACATGAACCTTCCCAATAGACAAAACCCACCAAATGAAGACCAGGAACAACACCAAAGTAAGTTTCTTACCCAACAGGGGAGACTCCTACCCCCGTGTTTAGGAGTGGCACATGAGGAGTGGTACACAGGGAGCTCCTGGGACTGTTGTGGGACTGACATCCACGGTCCACACCAGTCTCAGAGCTGTGTCCAGGCTGGGGGAGATGCACAACACTCCCGGGTGAGGTGAACACCTGCTAGAGACAGGATGAGCTGCCCGTGTCCTCGATTCCTGCTGTTGGTTTTCAATGACTTTCTTTTGCAATCCTACCCAGTTAAAATTCCTTGAACATGTACCAGCTGTATAAGCATACATAAATATAAAAGCATATACATAAGTTTATGATGTGATCTTGTTGCTTCTTAGAACTTAATTTTTTCCTTATGTTTGTATAAAGTGCTAAGGCAGCTCACGTTTTCTTTCTGCATATGGTGAGAATCCTTGCATCTTGTTAGGGAGCATCTGTCCTCCTCAGAGACCACAAAGAACTTAGCTGCTCTTCCCCGCAGAATATAGGAAAGAGGTGGATGAGGAGGAAGAAAGATCCTGCCTGTGCTGTGGGAGAGATGAAAAGAGAGGCACGGGAGGTGGCGAGGAGCCACGGGTCAAAGCCACGTGTCCAGATTTCTGGCTGGAAACTCAACACTAAGAACAGGATGCCTGAACCCTGCCAGTCATTATTTGCCACCCAAGGCCAAAGCCAGAGACCCTTCATGACCCATTCCTCATGGGATCTCAGGGACAGATGATTTCCTAGAAAAGACAGAGAAGATGCAGTGCAACAGGCCCTGGGGAAGTCCCTGATCTACTCTGCCTTCAGTCCCACCTGTCCACAGGAGCATGCCCTGGACTTGGTTTAAGTATTCTGCTCCTCTGAGAGCTTCTTTTAAGATGCGAATATTCCAGAGCGTTATATGAAGTCTCTGCCACGTCAGCAAAGGGATATGGGTCAAACAATGTTGGCTGTGTCCTGGATTCCTGCTGTTGGTTTTCAAACAAGGTCTGGATATGAGATATCATGATGCATCCCCCAAAGCTCCTGTGGAAATATTCAGAGGTGAAATGATTATATTATGAGAACTATAGCTTAATCGGTCCACCCTGATTTGAA